GATGATGTATGATGACGATGATGACGACGACGATGACGATGACGATGGTTAGGATAAAGCATGTTATCGTAAGTTTCTTCTTGCGTGAATTTGACATCTCTCCATTTTCTTGTTGAAATGTCGGTAATTAAATGCGTGTGCGTGAATGGGCGTGTGCGTGCTGCGTTTGTTGCGTGCGTGAGCGTGTGTCTGCCCATGTCAGATTTTATTTTCCTACGCGTACCTTTGTGCGTACCTTTGCGTAAAATCTGATCGGTGTGAAGTATCAAGTGATAACAGCGCTGTAGAAAGAAAAAATTTATGAATTTTCTGAATTCCAACGCAAAATATACAAGAAGTATTGTTGTTGGTGGTATATACAACAATATATACACGCACAGGCACGCACACAAACATACACACACAAACACACACACGCGCGCAAACACACACACGCAATCACATAATCACGGGTGCATACGTTTATTTAAACATTTAAGCGCATTTACATGGCGATGGCACGCATAAATAAGTCTACATACGTCTCCAAACAATTATCTCGCTAATTAATGAAAGGTGAAGGTCGCCTGCCTCGTGACGTCACCGTTGCTTCTTCATGCATATTTATGAGTCTTTAATGAGTAACTTTAAAGACAGCGATGGTGAAGATGTTTATGATGATGATGACGGTAATGGTCTTTACGATGATAATGTTGACGATGATGATGATGTTTATGGGGAGGATTATGCCATAGTGATGGTGTCGATGATGACGATGATGATGATAATGTAAACAATAATGATGATGATGACGATGATGATGTTACCAATAATAGTAATAACAGTGCTACTGATAAGGACTACGATGACGACTATGATGATGACGATGATGATAATGATGACGATGATGATGGCGACGATGATGATAATGATGACGATGACGACAATCAGCGTTCCTGAAAGTAACGATGTTTTATAGTTATTTATAGCCAGTCGTTTAAGATCTTTTGTTTATTTATTTTTTTTTCATGTTTGTTTAATTGTTCCTCCAGTCGTTCAATTATTTAAATGCGAGTTTAATTGTTTAGATTTCTTTTCTGCCTGCCTGAAAAATGTTGAAACGTTTAATTTTATAAAATAAATTGTTGTCTGATTTTTTTTTATTAATTTTCACATTTTATAACTGTTCATCTCTTTATTTTGAAGCTGTTTCCTCTTTTGGGTATTAACTTTTAGTTTTATTGCATGATTCATTTATTCGTTCTTTTATCAAATATTTATTTATTAATTAAATTGACTGAATAATGTTTATTAGTTATAATTATTATTTAATAAATGTGAATCCATAGTTCGATTGATTGTTCATTTGTTCATATATATTTTTTACTTAATGTTCGTTCGTTCATTCGTTTGTTTGTTTGCAAATGTATTTGTGAACATTCTTGTCCAATAAACTGTTTAAACGTTATGTTAAATAATCGGCAATCAATTTTGGTAACAGATGATTCATCATATGACCATTAATTAGGCGAGCCTCCAACAAAACGTTGGTGAACGTATGGAAACACTAAATTGCTTCTTTTGAAAATTCAGGTGAACGACTTCATCTTGAAGGATTCTGTATGGGAAACTTTATCCACATCACGTGTTTGATAGGAGTGTAAGAATACAACAGTGTAATATCTCAACACAACAATACGACAGCCTAACACAACGATACAAATTAAAACAATGCAACACATTGGCACAAAAATACAACAACATAATACAACGTTGTAATTCTTTCCGTCCTGTCATTGTAGATTCAATTCAAAGACAACTACACACCACCAGACCACCAGCATGTTTGATACTTTGTTGTTCATGTACCTGGGATTCGACAACAAAATAATTTTGTGGCTTGATGTATAATGAACGTGTTGTTGTTGGCAAGTGTATGATTAACCTGCCGACGAATCTCGTGTTTCTTAAACGTTATTGATGATGAAGTGGCGTGATGCACTTTATACTTCTTACAACTTCAAATTCCTAAAGGCGAAACACAAAGGATGTAACGACTGGAGGAGATATTTTCAAGCAAATATGTTAAAATGAGTAACATCCACAATTATCTCCGTTGAAAACAGAAAAAAATTTTTCCTTATCCAAAATTATTGCGCGCTTGCTGAATAACTTTTTCCCGTTGTTTTTAGAAAACGCGTTCCCTTATGTTTATAAGCTGAGTTTACTTTTAAATCCTTCTGTCGTTTGTTCGTTTACCGGAAATGTTTATTTTCGCGGTCTTTTCTCCGAACAGGCAAGTAATTATTTGCTTTGCTGTCTCTTAAATGGTGCAATTAAATTGTAATGTTCGGCCGGTTGGCTGATTGGTTGGCTGATTGGTTGGCTGATTGGTTGGCTGGTTAGTTGGCTGGCTGATTGGTTGGTTGGTTGGTTGGCTGGCTGATTGGTTGGTTGATAATTTTGTTGGTTTGATACATAGTATGTTGACTGATTAATTGGCTGATTGTTTGATGACATAAATACGTTAAATAAGTTAATTGAAATTTCAACAGCGTTGGCTCTTATCAAATTTCTAAATGCTCTTTGATACACTGGTAGGATGACAAAAAAATAGAACAGTTGCAAAGTTGAACGTGTGGCTGAAGTGATTGAATGATTAGTTAATTGTTTGGCTGTCCGGTTGGTTGATTAGTTGTGAAACTGGTCAACTGCATGGGCGGTTGAGAGACAAAAAAATTATAAACTGACTGGTTGACTGTTTTTTTGTGTGTCCGTTCATTAATTAACAGTTATTAAATCATTAGTGTCTATCTTGTTTGTATGTTTGTTTAGTTTGTAAGAATGTTACATTAAAGTGTATTTATTACATTAAAGTATGTTAATTACATTAATTTACATTAAATCTCACTTAGTTGCGTCAAGTTGTTACAGTAAGTAACATTATGAAACATGACAGCATCGTCAACAGAATCCACAACTGCATACCTCAATGTAATTAAGAAATATTGCAAATTACGAAAAAAATAAGGTAAGCCATCAGCCAATAGCATCAATTCTGCCATCAGCGAAAAATTCCTATAAACTTTTAAAATCACAACATCAACTAGGCGAATAGCCAACATTAACTACCATAACATCAATAACAACAACAACAACAAAATGGGCATGATGTCATTATCAACATCGGCATGACGTCATCATCTACGTCATCAACAACAACAACAACACACCTATAGTGGGAATTTCAATGCTCCTCATCATCGTCATCATCTTCATCTTCGTTGTTGTCATCAGAGATGCTATTGCTGGCTTTAATGTAAAATGATGATGTTGTTGTTGATGTTGATGTTGTTGTTGTTTTTGTTGCAGTTGGTTTTCTAAATGTAACTCATTTGTCTCGTCACCTGTTGCCGAGAAGAATAATTAAAATTTACTAAAATTTTGAAAAAAAAGTATAAAATAAATAATGAATAAATAATATTTAAATAAAAATTTAAAAAAATAAATAATAATTCAATAAAATAAAAACAGAAAAATAATTTCTATTTACAATTGAATAATAAATAATTTTTCCGGAATAAATTATCTCAAAGTGGATTAAAATGTGATGTGTCAAATTTAAATGGTTCGTGCTTTTGAAGCATCATCGCCTCTAAAACTTGCTGGGCCTCCAGTGAAACGAAATGTTGCAGTCGTTCGTCTGCCAAAATTTACCGCCATCTTGTATATATGACGTCAACAACAATAACAATAATAATAGTAACAATAATAATAACAATAATAATAATAATCAATGATAAAGCCAATCATGAAGTTAATATATATGCGATTGAGCAAGATAAAGTAAATAAAGTAAAATACAATTGTATATACAATTTAATAAAATTTTAAATAATAATGAAAGTAAATATAATAATTTTCATCGTAATTTTGTTTCATAATAATTTTATTCATAATAAAAATTTTATTCATAATAAAAATTTTATTCATAATAATTTTTTCTCTTTGTTTTTTTTACGGCACCAATCTTTCAATATTTAATTTCTTTTATTATATTTATATTTTTTTCTGGTAGAAAATTCGACGCTTGAATTTTAACGATTTTAAATACGAGAGAATATTATCGTGTTATTGTTGCTATAGATGTTGTTGTTGTTGTTGATGTTGTTACTGCTGCTGTTGTTGATGTTGTTGGTGGTGGTAGTGTTGTATCAGTTGTTGTTGTTGCGGTTGTTACATTAAATAATGTTGATGATTTTTGTACCATTAAAATTGCTGATGTTTTTTTGATGGTGTGTTTAGTTGCTGATGTATTTACATTACTGTTAAAGTAGTTTGTTTTATGTCTCATTTGTTGTTGTTGTTGTCTTGTTATTGATGTCATTTCGATGTTGGTGTCATCTCGTTGTTGATGTATACATGTAGTTCTTAATGTCGTTGATGTTGTTTGATGTTGTTGTGGGTAGATGATTTAGCCGACGAACACGTTGATGGCATCGTATCAATCAATATTCTATTAATGTCAAGAGCCAGCCTATGTATGATGAAATTTATATCTATATACCGAAAATGATGATAATGAATCACGCACCGCATCGGCTATGAGGCTGGTGTCGTCGCCGCCGATGTTGTGGTTGTGGTTGGTGAAGTCGCAGTTGTTCAAGTAAAACTTTGAAGCATTGGTTTGTAATAATAATTACTATAGTAATAAAAATAATAACAATCGAGCAAAAATTAAAAAATGCTGACAATTTTGTACATGCGCTTGATTTAAATTTTGTTGTACCTGTCTGTATCTATCCATCCGCATAGAAATAATTTTTATTTGAAATTGTCTACATTTTTAAACACTTTGCTCTTGATTGTACTTTCGTCGTTATTGCGTTATGGCCAACAACACTAGCAACATTTCGTCATCATCATCAGCAAATACTTCATCATCATCATCGTCGTCGTCATCATCGCAATCATCATCAGCATTCACCTTGTTGATGCTGAACGAACCAGTAGAAGAGAGCGGGTAGCAAGCAGATGAGAAGGAAGGACAACAACGTCAGGACAACAACACCGATGCACAGTTTTGTTGCGCAACATTTGTTGCAAAACTGCCAACGTTGTTGATGTTGTTGTTGGTGTTGTTGATATTGCCGTTGTTGAAATTCTTTCAGTTGTTGTTTACGTTTTTGTTGTTGGTGATGAAGTTGATGGTGCTGTTTTGAAGTTTTCGTTTTTGAAAAATTTAAACAAGTTTTAATTTTTGAACTCTTGGTGAGAATTTTGGCGCCTCCGCCAGAAGTCATCGTCGTTTCCGTGCAATCATCGTCTGAGGAGTTGTTCACGTGACTGCCTTCAAAGTTATGATGGCTGTCACTTTTTTTTGATGTCTTTGGTGTATTTGCTGTTGTTTTTGTTGTTGTTGCTGCTGCTACTGCTGTGAATCTGGAAGTTGTTGACGCTGATGTCGATGCGGCAGTTGTTGATGTTTGTTGGGGCTTTTGTTGGCGTTGCTTTTTGCAACAATTCAATTTCGTCGACGTTGTCGCGTGTGGCTTTGCTGTTTTTGCAATTGGTTTATCACGTTTTAATTGCTTTTCAGAAAAAGTCAAACAGAAATGTGGTTTCATTGCGCTGGAGTTCGTTGTTGATGTTTTGTTGTCGTTCGTATTATTGCCCATGTTGATTTCGTTGTTGTTGATGTCGTCGTTGTTGTTGTTGTTGTTGTTGAAATATATCGTGTCTGAACAGTCAACGCTGCCGTTAATACTGCTTTCCTTGTTATTGCTGTAGAAATATTTATTAGTGTTGACACTTTGGAAGGAGCGCTTGTTCGTATCGATGTTGCCCCTCTTGCCACCATTGTTTATCAACTTTGGCATTGAATTTGATTTCTGATAAATGGCAACACTTGATTGTGAGTTTGCACAGTCGGCGGACATGTTCGTTGCGGCGTGGTGCATGATCGTCAGTGTTGAGAGATCCGTGCTGAACATGTTGGAAAGATTGTTCAACTTGTTGTTCTGCTGGAAGTTGCTGTCGTAGACACTGTTGCAACACGAACCAGTGCAGTAGGAGTTGTATATTCCATCGTTGTTGTTGTTGTTGTTGTTGTTGCTACTGAGGTTAGGGTTTGCTTCTATAAATAACTTTTGGAATCCCCCGCAATATAGTTCATTCTTGTTGTCCTTCAGCTCACCGTAGACGTGTTCATCATTGCTGCTTGGCACTGCTTTGCATTTGTGGCACTTTCGACAGAACTTTATCTGCTGCTGATTGGTCGATGCGAAATCACGTGTCTGTGCCAATCTCGTCGTTGCGTTTGTTGTTGCCAGCATGTTTTGTTGGCAGATGCTAGTTGGTGTCAGTATTGTTGAGTTGTAGATGGAGTTGTAGTTCGAATTGCTATTGTTGTTGTTGTTGTTGTCATCTTCGCTAAAGTTTGCATTTAATAAAGGAACAGGAACAATGTTGGAGTGGGTGGTTGTGATATCGTTGTTGTTGTTGATGTTGCTGCCGATGTTGTTGTGTGTGCTGACGTCATTCAACATTTCATCAGCATATGTCTCTCCTAATTTGTTAACCGATTTGAAAGTTGAAAAGGACATCACGTTGTGGACATTTCGTTTAATAAAATTCTCTTGCAAGTTAATGTTGCTAGTGTTGGCGGTTTCAGTTGCCAATATTGTTGCTCTCAACAAATCAACTGTTGAATTGTTGGGCTGCTTCTGTTCCATATTAATGTCAGCAAAACAGATTGTTTGAATCTGTAACTTCACCTTCACCAGCAACGCAAACAATATCGCATCACAATAACTACGATAAACCGGCAAATACACAAAAACCACTTTCGAAGGACACGTGTTGGCACTTTTGAAACCAATTACCAACACTACCACCAGCGGAAAAATGTTTTTGTTTTTTCAACTGGATGATGTTCAACAATGAGAAATGGACCGCCGACGGATTATTTATTACCTCCATTCAGTCTATTCATAATGTCATTCATCAATTCTGGGCCTATATACATACACACACACACACACACACATATATATATATATATATATATATATAGAGAGAGAGAGAGAGAGAGAAAGAGAGGGAGTCAGACAGGTAAAGAAAGTATGCTTATTTGTTTCTGTGAGTGTTTTTAAGTAATTATTGTCGTGTGTTGTATGTAATTAAATAATGTAGGGAAATAGTTGAGTGTGTGTGTATGTGTGTGTGTTTGGTGTGTCTTTATCGATTGAAAACTGTGAATGTAGGATGGCTTTTGTGCCTGTGCTCTGATTGGAGCAATTAATTATTATCAGACGTCACCCCGGCGACGTAAACCATGAAGAACCAATGATCGGCCAGGAGGACGTTCACGTGACATATTTTTGACAAATAGGAGAGCAGGAAGCAATATGACGTCATTTAACAAATCCCCCGGTGTCCAATTAGAGACGGGGAGATGGATGTCCATACACTACTTGTGCGTGTTGTTGCATGTTTGCATCAGAGATTGTGCGTGTGCGTGTTTGTGTGCGTATGTGTGATTTTTTTGATAAGTTATTATAAATGTCTGCGTACATATGTGTTTGTACGCCTAGAGGGTTGTGTTTGCTTATTTGTCTCTACGTATGTACGTTTATTCGATTTTTCCTTTCAAGGGTCTTAAATTTGTCTTTATAGTTAGGAGCGTGATGTGATGTTCCATGCAGTTTAATTATTTTTCCATTTGAAAAGAAGACAGGATAAAGATTAATTCCATTCTCCTCTCAATTCATCACGTCATCATCTTCTTCTTCCTCATCTTCCTCTTCTTCTTCTTTTTCTTCTTCTTCTTCATCTTTTTCTTCATCATTAGATTCCACGCATCCATCAAAATCTTCAAAATCATTTTAATCATCTCCGCCATACTTTCCACGGAGCCTTGCAACTATCACATCTCCCTCCCTACACCAAATATTTGATTATTTTTCTTCCTTTTCGTTTTTCCTTTCGTTCCTACCTCCTTATCTCTCTCTCTTTCGTTCACTCTCTCTCTCTCTTCTTTCTTTCTCTCTCTTTGTTTGTTTCATTTTTTCTTTCTATCCTTCTTTTTGACTTTTTTAATCTGTATAAGATACGTTACGAAGAATTGGAAAAATTGTTTAGATTTTCTCTCTCTCTCTCTCTCTCTCTATATATATATATATATATATATATATATATATTCTTGGAGTTGCCCGTGACTGGTTCAGGTCATATCTCAAAAATCGTACACAACAGGTCGCTTTTAAAAACACAGTGTCAGATGTATCGTTGGTCTCATCGTGGGTGCCGCAGGGATCTGTACTGGGACCCATCCTGTTTCTGCTTTATACATCAGATATAATAAAAATAATCAGTTCCCACGGATTTGTTTGTCATGCCTTTGCGGATGACATCCAGGTGCTGATCACCGGTTCTCCGAGATCATTTGTAGATGAAATAAACTGATTTAATAAATGTATGTCGGACGTTGGCCGTTGGATGTCCGATAATTCATTGAAGTTAAACCAATGTAAGACTCAGTTCCTCCCAGTTGGGACATGGCAGCAGTTATCGAAGATGAATGTCACTTCAATCAAAGTAGGAGATACAAACATATCCTTTAGTACAACAGCTGTCAATTTGGGGATCTGCTGGATAATGAGCTATCTATGAAAGACCACATCAGGATGATTTCAGTCTCAGCCATTGCTCATCTTAGAAATTTATATCGAGTCAGACATTTGCTGGATAGATCAACTCTGGAGGATCTGGTCCATGCGTTCATAACATCACGACTGGACTACTGCAACAGTTTGTTTTACGGTTTGCCTAATAGATCAATTGACATTCTTCAGTCGGTTCAGAACAGGGCTGCAAAACTTGTAACTGGCAAATTGAAATTTGACCATGTAACTCCAATATTGAATGAGCTTAACTGGTTAAAAATTAAGAAAAGAATAATTTTTAAAATTGCAGTGATTGTGTTTAAATCCTTGAATGGAATGTCACCGGCTTACATCTCAGATAAATTTTCCATGAAGGCATCTACAACCTGTTTTCATCTAAGATCAGATAATATGAATCTTTTGGCGGTCCCAGCTAGGCATCTACGAATAGGTGCGAGAGATATTGCGGTCGCAGGTCCGACAGTCTGGAATGACCTACCAGTTTCATTAAGAAGATCTGGAATTAACTTTGTGACATTTAAAAGGGAATTAAAAACATACTTATTTTCTGTGGAAAAACAATGAATTTGAATATTTTGATTTATATCAATCATGTACAGTTATT